CAGGGCACAGCCTGAGTCCATCCAAGATAATTGTGCCCAATGTTGACATCATGTTATGAATAAATATACACTGGAAAATAAACCAAAGAACCACAGTATATCTCATACTTATGTAAACAATATGTTTTGTAGATAACTTTTCAGTTTTCCCAAAAGGCTGATACATTTCAATATTTTAATTACATCCATGTTAATTTTGAGTTTGCAGAGGTAACCTAACCAACTACCATTGTGTTTTAGTACTACGGGGGATATACATTTCAATAAAGTGATTGAAATGCATTTCTTTGATGGGTGGTTTTCTAATGTGTTTCTCTTCTGATTCAATGAACTATTTTGGCAATGTGATAGCAGAACCACAATAAAAAGCTCTCTCTACTCAGTCTATTTTTTAAATCCTCACCAGAGGATACTTTTTCCATTGATTTTTAGAGAGTGGAATGGAGGGAAGAGAGAGAAACATGAGACACATCAATTGGTTGCCTCCTGCACACAAATGACTGGGCAGGGCTGGAATCTGCAACCCAGGCATATGCCCTTGACCAGGAATCAAACCCATGATCCTGTGGTGCCCAGAGCCAATGCTCTAACCATTGGTCAACCCCAGCCAGGGCTCAACTCAGTAAAGATGGTAGCAGAAAAAAAAATCTGTTTAATCATGTAGCCATTATTTACTTGAAGCTTTTACTCTAATGGTTTTCTAAAGTAGACATGATAAATATGCTTAATGTGCATTAAAAATTGATTTTTTGCACTGTGGTTATTTTTATCATTTGGATTCATCACTACTATGGATATCCTTAATACAACTTCACCCTTAGATTCAGCCCACCTGAAGTTTTGTGTAAACCCTCTTTACCTAATTAGACAGTATACCAGGTAGTAGTAGTTAACTGCCAAGTATTGTGTTAGATCAACTGGTTATTACTGAACTAAGACAATATTTAATTTTGAACTGTTCACGTTTAATTAAAGGAACCAAAGTAGACATTACAAGGGATTACTGATGAAAGAAAAACTTAAATGTCCCCTTTTGCACTCAACTCAGATTAGATATTTAATATAAGCTCTCTTCTCACGTGTTATTTTTAAAAAGGTTACTTGAACCTTATCTGTATTTCCAATTAAGCTACATATTACCTCAACAATAGACATTTCTGATCTAATATCTGTGGTTAGCAATAAGTTTTTATTTTCAGGTACTATCGCCAGATATTTTATATGCATCATCTTCATTCAAAATGTATGAAGTTATCCCAATTTACAAATGAACTGGTAAGGTGTGTGGAGGAGGCAGCTGATTGATGTTTTGCTCTCACACTGATGTTTTTCTCCCTTTCTCTAAAACATTCAATAAAAATATCTTTTTAAAAAAATGAAGCATTGGCACATAATGTGGAAATCCTCTAAAACATGTTAAGTGTAAGAAGCCAATAAAAAATGATCATATATTACCTATATATATAAAAGCCTAAGCAACTAAATGAGTGGTTGACCAGTCACTATGACACACACTGATCACCAGGGGGCAGACACTCAATGCAGGAGCCGCCTCTTGGTGATCAGTGCACTCCCACAGCGCTCCGTAGCTCCTCTGCCTCCACCCCTGGCCCAATGACCCTGATAGAGCTGACCAACCTCCCATTGCCCTCCCTGCACTGGCCAACCTCCAGCGGCCCTGATCGTTGGCCAGGCTGAGGGATCCCACTGTGCACAAATTCATGCACTGGGCCTCTAGTTATTTCATAAATATAAAATGTTTAGAACAGTTAAATCTGAAATGGGAAGTAAATTAGTGGTTGCTTAGATCAGGAACTGGGGAGGATAGCTAAAAGGCATGGGGTTTCATTTTCAGGCAATGAAATGGACCATGGTGATGGCTGAATATGTGAGTATACTAAAAGCCATTAAATTATACACTTTAAATGGGTAAAATGAATTTTATCACAATAAAGCTGTTTTTTAAAAAGATAGCACATGATTCCATTTATGTGAACTTGTTTAAAAGACAAATCTAGTGTGAAGGCATTTTTGTGATTGAACTGTTCAACTCCTGATTTTGGAGGTAACATATTTCTACATGTTAAAATTCACAAAACTACAAACAAAAAAGTTCATTTTACTTTATTTTTATTCAAATTACAAAATATTTTTAAAATGTTAAAATGAGAAGCCAATTAAAAGAAAAAAGCCTCTTCCCCATAATTTCACTCCTAAAGTTATTGGGTAACATGAACATAGGGAGTGGCTGGGCTGCAGTGGCCCACTGTGGAGGGTTAGGATCCCAGGTGAGAAGGATATCATTGCTTGGCATAGGGTGCTAGAGCCTAAACACAGTGAGAGAAGGCATTCATTCATACAACATAGCCTACAATAGGGAACCAAATACATTAAGGATAATAGAATCAGGTTTCTCACTATTGCTGAAAGGAGTTATAGAGAGAAAACAGAAATGATCCTAAGAGATTAGAAATGAAAGTGACTATGCTAAAAACCAAGTGTGAACACATGGTTTTCTATACATATAAATATAGATGTAAATGTATACACTATACAAACATCAACAGTAATTGCTCACTTCTAAAAACCATTCTCCATGAATGAAAACCAAGATTACGTGGAAAAATTGCTGATTCTTCGGTTAGGGCAGAGAAAGCATAATAAGCCTCATATGCCTTGTGAAGGATTAAGAAATTGCTCAGATAATGATGGGGACATGTCAAAAGGACATAAAAGCCACCTAGAATGGTCTGGCACTGGACAAATCTAGAAAAATTTTGAGAATCAAAGTAATAAGAATAATAGATTTTAACCTGCTGAATAAAGTAGGAAATAATGAGTCCATAAAGATATCAATAAAATGAAAGTTTGGTAACAATAATTTGAAACTGACTTCCACAAAGTACTCAATTATACACATAAAGAGAGTACAATGGAGAAGTCTAGCAGATACCACTAAAACAGTGATCTAAGTAATCACCATAAGAACAACAAATTAACTCATGGTAGGATACAATAAGAACTCAACATCA